TCTGTGTAGCAGGTGTGCTATTTGGAAATAAATTTTTCTAGAATGTGTGAAAAAGGTTAAAACTTTGGAATGTTTTTGTTCTCAGTTCACATATCCTTCTCATTCACTATTTGTCTCCCTGGTGTGCATGAACAGTGTGACCTGGACAAGAATGCAGTGTCACTAGAGGATAGGTCTTGGAGGCAGGGTGCAGTACTACTCCAATGTCTGACTACCAAGTGATTATTGTGGTTTCCCAATCATATGTTAATTGGGTAGTAACAACTAACATTCTTTCCTCAATTCATGCTAAAAGCTTTCTATTCTTTTGCATGGAAACCTTTATTCACAGGAATATGTGATCCAAGAATTTTTTACCATATAAGTAAAGTTGGGTATTTTTACTCATAGTCCAAGTATGGGAACCCTTTCACTAATGTCCTGTTCAAGAATAATTACAAATTGTTTGTAAGCCCCTCTAGGATTATATACAGATGAAATTAATGCTCACTATGTGGGAACTCATTAAGTTATGTACCTGAGATTTATGCACTTTCTATTTATGTTATATTTGAATAAAAAGTTTATGGAAAATATGACTTTGACCAACAATTGAAATACTTTCTTTGACCAACAATTGAAACCCCCAACAAGAGACAATGCTTAGAGCCAAAGGGATTTGCAGGGCAAAACTAGAAGTAGCTGATCTGTGATCTGCTGGTGGCCACAACCCCTGAAAAACAGAACTAAGGCCTCAGGAAATCCACTCTGGGTTCCTCTTCAAGGGTTGGCCATACCAACCAAAGCCTGGCCTCTTGGCATCAGAGAAACCCAAGGTGGAAGGCAAATGCCCAAAGATTCCTGTTACTTTTCTCAAATCTAGGGAGGGCCAGGAACCTCTAGGCCAAAACAAAGATTCCCAGAGGCATCTGTGACTGGCTGAGGGGTTTGAACTGAATATTATAGGCATCAGTCTGAGGGGAAATGCCAGGGTCCCCCAATTTTTTTTCTATAAAAATGCATGAAAACAAAACACAGATAACAGCTTAAGAGAAAGAAATGGGCTCTATGTCCAGATTCTGGAAACTCAAGGCTTGGGAGATGGTCTGGGGAGAGAATAGTAATAAAGAAAATGGGACTCCAAAGAAGTGACTTGATCCTTCTTCAAAACTGAGTCCCAGCTTGATGCAAAGAGATAAATCTAGGTTCATGTGGCCAACATTTGGTCCTCTTCCGGGTCTTGAGTCCTCAGGGCCAGGTTCACAGATCAGCAAACTCAATTTCAAGGAAAATAGATTTGTTGAGAGAATGAGCTGCGAGTGGAGAAAGTAAGGTGCTGGTTTAATCCAAGGAAAGAGTCTTCCCCTTGGGAGGCAGCTAAGTTGCACCCTGAGCTCACCTCCTGCAAGCAGATGGAGTAGGTCCTGCCAGAGCTCATTCCATGCTGCACCTGGCCTTCCCTGATTGCAGGGGGGCTAGCATGCTAAGCTACGGACAACAGCTTCACCAGGTCCAGAGCCTTCCTATCCTCCCCAGACCAGCTGCGGGGGTGGGCACATTTTTTCTCAGCTCCTTATCCTCCTGCCCTCTCTGGTCAGATGCATAGCTGAACCTCCCCCATGTGCCCTCTCCTAAAGAAACTTCATGATTAGGCCTAGATGCCCAAGGGCCACAATGGCCTGGCAGATCGTGGCTGTTTCCAGAGGCTCAGGAGGCTGCCCGGTCCACTCCTTGGGCACTCCTAGCGGGTCCCTGCGGCGATGCCCTATTAACCTGTGCGTCTGTTCACCGTAGGCAGAGGGTTGGCGGGACCACGCCGCACAGCTCAGCCTGGGTGCTCTCACTGCATCCTCGCCTCTACAGTGCGGCCCCAGCCTCCACCGCGTGCCAGTGTTTCTCTTGCCCTCATTATTTTTAGCTCGGCGGCTGCACCCTCCTACCTGCAAGAGCTCGCCCCGCTCTTAAGACTCGTTTTGCAGGATTTGTGCCCCAGGTGGCTAACCTGACCCATACTTGAATAAACAGCGAGCACCCAACAACCCTGGTGAGCCACTCGCACGGAATTTGCATTCAGCCACTCCAGAGGCTCCTGACAGCAGAGCTTTCCCTCCTTCTTTTTCATCTACCAGGACTTAGAAACTCTGAACCATTCTCCCAGTCATAAGTAAATAAATAAAATTTAGAAAAAGAAAGAGATGGGAGGTCCTGAACTGATACTCCTCTGGGAGGAAGTGAGAGGCTCCTGGTACAATTTTATCCTTGGCCCCTGGCATTCTCCCCCTGAAGTCCTAAGGATTCTGGGACAGAAGCCTCGATTATATTTGGAGAAAATTGAATTTGGAAAGTATTTGCAAGCTTGCTTCCCAAGCTAGACATGGGCTCCACTGCTGTTTCCAAGGACAGGTTGTCCAGGGGCTAGAGTGAGGCTTTTCATATCAGTTAAGGATAAGGGTGTGCTTCCCTCAGTGTCTGCTCTTGCCAAGTGCAGCAGTAGTAATTTCAAGTTTAAACAACACTGGCAAAGTGGGATTTTTAAGGCCAGGTGTGGGTGAAGGGACGTGATGTAGAGAAAAGGAGCAGGAGGTGTGAGGTTCTAGCTTTGGGTTGCTGTTTCAGATGGGCCCTGGTGGGCTAGAGGATCTTTGCAGAGCAATCGCCGGGGGTGGGGGGGGGGTGTTCAGCCTTTCCTTGAGCCAATTAAACAACAGTTTCTCTCTTTTTTTAATATTTATTTTTTAGCCGTTGTTGGACACAATACCTTTATTTAATTAACTTATTTTTATGTGGTGCTGAGAATCGAACCTAGGGCCTCAGACGTGCTAGGCGAGCGCTTTGCCAACTGAGCCACTATCCCAGCCCCAAATTAAGCAAAAGTTTAACTGAATAAAGGAGTCTTCTTTATTCTTCTTTCATAAGGGGGATGACTGATTAGATTTTGTAGCCTATGCTTCAGAATTCTGATTTTCATTTTGAAAATCTGACTTTTACTCTTTGTTCATTTCCTGCATGTTAGGGTGTCAACTACAAGTGACAGGTAAACATGACTTCAGCTTGAGCCAAATGACCTGTGTGGCTCCTAGAACACTTTGGATGATCCCATTTTATTTCTATAGTATTGGATAGAATGGTTTGGCCAGTATTGGATGATTGAAGGTCTAAGAGTCTTAAGGAGAAAAGTGAGTGTTGACTGTCTTTGTTATACTTAAATTTAAAAGTTAACCTGTTTAGATTAGAGATTCTTAAACCTCCTATAAAGCTTCACTGGATGGCTGTTAGGGGGATCTAAAAAACTGACATTCATGCATAACATGCTTGGGGGCCATAACTTCATCAAATTTTCAAAGGTATTTGGGACCCAGAAAAAGCTGAAAGTCTTTCTCATACACACCATATATGATACCAGATTCCTTTTGGGATCTGTCTCTAAGTGGCCTGCAAAACAACTTTGATTCAGTGATACATAGATTTCACACTCAACAATGTTCTTAAGTTGTCACTGGGTTAACAGAAAGTCACTCTGTTAAGAGCTAGCACTAGCAGGCCAAAGGCCCCTAGCAGAATAATGACTTGGAGCCCAAATCCCTGCTCTGCCCATGTGAATTAAACCCACATTTACCCACCTAAGACTCTTGTGACTCTTAGTGTAAGGAGCAAATGTTGAAGTGTATGTGAAATTACTTTACAGATCACAAAATATATGGCTGGTGGCATTTACGAAAATACTGATGGGTTTTCACATGCTAGTTATAATTAAATGAACAATTATGTAAATAATTATAATTAAATGAACATTTGCATATTTTCTTCAACCATATACTTGTAAGGAAAGTCAACATACTTTGAATCCCTAATAATTATTAGACATTTTCATGTTTCATTATCTCACCTAATCCTTGAGACAACCTATGGCTTATATGCTATAGTTATTACCCCTCCTCCCCCCCCACACACATTTTTTTTTTAAACATTTGAGGAAAGAAACATAGATTAAATTGCCTAAGGCCACCCTGCTAACAAGCACCAGGTTCCTACTCTAAACAAAATCCCTGCTTTAAAAAGTGGATATTACATAAAGTGCAAATTTTGCTCAGATTTAAGTAAATTATATTCCTTGTGAGTTTGTTATAAAAGTACAGGAGTTTAAAATAGAGCAGCCACACTTGAGATGTTCCGTCTTCTCATGGACTTTTTGCTAAAAATTTGTCTTTAACTTCCCTTCTATTTCCTCCACAGTTCAGGTGTATTAGCATGTTAACCGAAATTTATGCACATATTTCCTTATTAGTGGCATAGAGCTTCTTCAACTAATTAAGAAGGCTTAGGAAGGAAAGAGCACCTCTGTCCTCATCTCCTGCAATTCTTCCACTGACCCTTTGTAGTAGAAACCATTATCTTCAACAACCAGTGGAGGCCCAAACTGTTATCTGTCCACATGGTTAAATATCTCACTCAAGGTTAAATAACCAAAACAGTGTGTTTGTGTATGAGTGCTATGTGCACACATAGCACCAAGTCATTGGCTAATGAAAATAAAACAGATTTATTTTGCTGCTCCCTGAGTTTGGGGCACATTAAAAGAACTACTACAGGCTCTGGTCCACTCTCTTTTAAATCATTTCTGAAGTAATTACCATGGCAGGTAGATTTGTTCAACAGATAGTTCTCCATTTTTGTTCCTCTTTAGCGTAAAATATATAATAGCCGAATCTGTACACAGTTTGTGGAAGATCCAGAGAGAGTAGGCAGACATCTATTCTTATCTTTAATAATTATGTTTTAATTATGTCTTGAGAACTAGTATCTCAGAAAATTAATAACAAGAGCAAAAACAAGTATGGATCATAGCAGGAACTTTGTTCAAAAACTTATGAAGTGTGCTGTGTTTCTGTATAGGACTCAGGTTGCTGAGTAGATGAAAACGTTTTAATAACACTTTGGTATTTATACAAGGAAGAATTGATGAAATGATTATTAAAAGTAAAGTAGTGTGGTATGATCTTTTTTTTTTTTTAATAGACTTGAAGACAGCCTGTCTTGGGCATAGCTAAAACCAGTTCATACTATATATCTTACTCTGTTCTGTGCTGCTGTGCCAGAAGACCATGAACAAGGTCATTTATAAACAACAGAAGTTCATCTGAGGCTGGGAATCTCAAGATGGAGGGGCCACATTTGGTGAGGACCTTTTTGCTGTGTCATAATGTGGAAGAAGGTATCACATGGAAAAACAGAGCATATGAGAGAGAAGGGGCCAAACTCCTCTTTTATAAGGATGCCATTTCTTCAGTAACCAATTTGCTTCCTTCATAATGGCATTAATCCATTAATGAGAGCAGAGACCTCATGGCCTAATCACCTATTGTAGGTCCCACCTCTAAATATTGCTGCATTGGAAATTAATTGTCTAACACATGAACTCCGGGCAACACATTCTAGCCATAGTACTATTGTCTGAACTTGGACATTTCCCAAGTTACATGAGATATATGACCTCTAAATTTTAGGTATTGGCAAGTTTTACCTGTAAAGGGCCAGATAGTAAATATTTCAGGCTTTTGGGGCCACTACCATCTCTGTCATTATTTCTTCCTCCTTTATCTTTCTTTTCCTTTCCTCCTTTCCCTCTTCCTCTTCCTTCCTCCTTCCCTTCTACAGTTATTTACAAACGTATAATCAATTTGTATTGCCTTTTTAGGGCTAGCATAGCAAAGTACCACAATTGGGTGGCTTCACCAGCAGAAATTTCATTATCTTTCAGTTCTGGAAGGTAGACATTTGAGTTCAAGATGTCAGCAGGGTTGATTCTTTCTCTTTCTTTTTTTTTTTTTTTAGTTATGTATATTATTTATTTATTTATTTATTACATACATGACAATAGTGGAGTGTATTACATTCATAATTATCTATTCACAGCACAATTTTTTGTAACTCTGTATATAAAAGGTTGATTCTTTCTGAGAGCTGTGAAGAAGAATCTGTTCAAGCCTCTTTCCTAATCTTCAGTGGTTTGCTGACCATCTTTGGAGTTCCTTGGTGCTGTGGTTTGAATGTGTCCATATGTTGGAGACTTAATCCACAATGCAACAGTGTTGAGAGGTAGGACTTTAAAGAGGTGCTTAGGTCATGAGGGTTCTGCCCTCATGAGTGGATTAATGTCATCATCCCAAGAATGGGTTTCTGATAAATGGGTGAGTTTGGTTCCCTTCCCCTCCTCTGGCTCAAGCTCTCTCGCCCTCGCCTTGTCTTGCCCGTCTGTCTTCTGCTGTGGGGTGATATAACAAGAAGGAAAGCCCTCACCAGATGTCAACATGTTGATACTGAGAGCAGAGACCTCATGGCCCAATCACCTATTATAGGTCTTATAATAGGTTTCCAGTTCCCAGAACTAGGACTTCCCATTGCCTGTGAATTACTTAGTCTGTAGTATCCTGTTATAGCAGGGCAAAATGGGCTAAGACACTTGCCTTATAGAAGTGACACCCTGATCTTGGAATTTAAATTTACGTAGTGTTCTCCCTATACATATGTCTACATCCAAATTTACCCTTTTTATATAAGGTCACTGTCAGATTAGGGGCCTACACTATTCTAGTATTATTTCAAGTTAACTAAGTATATTGACAATGACCCTATTTCCAATCAAGTCACATTCTGAAGTTCTGGATATTATTTTAACAAATGAAATTTGGGGGAGACACAGTTCAATCCATAAGACCATTCCTAGCTCATCTAGATAGGTCATGGAGTGTATGTACTTTGTTGATCCCTTTAGTAAAATTCTCATTTATTCTAAAATCCTATAATTTTCTATTCTACGTGACTTTATGGGACAATTTTTTTTTTTTTGAGATGTGGGCCTCACTACTTTGCGAAGGCTGGCCTTAAACTTGTGATCTTTCTGCCTCAGCCACCTGAGTAGCTGGGAACAAGCAACCATGCCCTGTTGTATGGGACAAATTGTCTATTGTATTTATTCAATTAACAAATTTTATTGAGCACTTACATATGCTCAAGCACTATTCGTGGTGCCAGGACACAGAAGTGAAAACCTGATAAAAATTATTTTCCTCCCAAGTCTTAATGTCTAATATGAAAAGCAGACCCCCAACAAAATAAACAAAAACAACCCAAATACATAAGATGGCAGTAGGTTCTAAGAATAAAATTTCAGGGGCAAGAGAAAGATAGCCATTCAATTGAATTTTAATAGGGTAGTCAGGGAATATTTCAAAGAAAAAGTAACATTTGAGCAGAGAAGAGACCTGAATGAGGTGAGGAATTAGCACATGATATCAGGTGCTATGGTTTGGATATGATTTGATTATGTTCCCCAAGGATTCATGTGTGGAAAGTATGGTCCTCAGTGTGGTGATATTGGGAGGTAGTAGAACCTTTAGAATGTAGGTTAAGTGTGAGGTAAGTAGGTCACTGGGACCACTGCTCTCAGAAGAGATTAACGTAGTTCTCAGGGGACCCCAGTTAGTTCTGTGAAAGTGGGTTGTTATTTTATAATAGGGAAGATTCAGCCATCACTGGGGTATTTTAGAATCCCAGGACATCAGAGTGAAATTATCAGTTGTCAGTGTTTGCTTTAACATCTGAAAAAAGCTTCCTGTTCTACATCCCTGCAGACCACTGGGTGCTGTGGGTGAGGCGATGCCCTCCTCTGCCATGGCCCCCTAGGAAGCTGTCCTTCTGTTGAATACTGTACCTTTGCTCGCTCTCAATTCGAGTGGACTGTGCTTTAGTGTATTTATAAATGATGGATTCAGTTTCTGAAATTAAACTTTTTATTTGCGGTTTTCCAAAAAAAAAAAAATGTGAGTTGTTATAAAAGATCATGTGAATCATTATAAAAGAGCTCTCTCTACTCTCTGGCTTTCTGTCTCACCATGTAATCCCTCTGACATGTACCTCTACCACAATACTATATGCCAGGAGGTCTTCACCAGAAACCAAAAAAAAAAAAAAAAAAAAAAGGGTTTGCCCAACCTTAGACTTTCATTCTTCAAAACTGTAAGTTAAATGAACTTCTTTTCTATATATGTTATCCAGCCTCAGATGTTTCATTATGGCTAGTACATTTAGGGAAGTCATGTTTCTGTCAAATGAAAGAGCAATCTAAGGTAGAAGTGAGGGCCAGAACAGCAAGAGGAAAGTGTGCTTGAGTAAAAAGGAGGCAGGAGAGAATATGAAGAGATGAAATCAGAGATAATGTGGGGTGTGAGGTGTTCAATGGTGAATAGTCTTGAATTACCACCTTAGATAAGGGTCAGTGTCAGGATGAGGGTGGGGCAAGCAAAGCACACAGTTTAAGGAGGCAGTCATTCTCAGAACTCTGCAAGTACAGGGTGGGCACCTAAGAGTGAGTTCCTCCTTAAATTATGCACCCCAGGAATCTCCCAAGCCTCACCCTAGTTCTGGTCCAGGTAAAAGCTTTGGATTCAATAACAAGTGGGACAGGAAGCCTCTGGATGGTTTTTAGGAGAGGGGCATGAATAACATTAACTTTTATCAGAATTACTCTGACTGCTGTATTTAGGACAAGGATAGGAAAAATGAGACAAGTTAAAAGCTCACTGAACTAGCTTCCCAAGAAAAAGTGAATCAAGGCTTTATACCCAATAATCCACCTAGGGGTGGGCCACCCTAAAAAGCTGTCATGCATATAACCAGTGTAACTTGTGTTGTCTTTTTATTTTCACATGACTTTCTTTGGAGGTCATCTGAATACTAGACTCTATGGCAGTTACTGGGATTCCATTCAAAGAATCAACAAGAAATGGTCCCTATCTCAAAGAATTAATATTTTCCTTTCTTCTTTTCTTCTTTTTTTCCTTCCTTTTTTTCTTTTATATTTTGAAATTTTGCAAAAGCAAAAGCAAGCAAACACCAAAAAGTCTAAGTCCCCACTCTTACCTTCTTAGGAATTCACTATGCTTATTTTCTGATGCATGTATCTATGCCCATTCCATTTAGAATAGTAAATAAATGATGATAAGAATTAGGGTACAACTTAGGAAATTGGCCATGATTTATTATGAATTCTCATGAAAATATTAGACCTCCCTTTCACTCATAGGATCAGGAATTTGGGGGACTTAAATGTTAGAGGTCCTCACACTCAACCCTCTCATTTGTCTGATGATGAGACTGAGACCCAGAAAGACAAACCTCTAATTACCCACCTACTTAGTGGTTGAGTGTGGCAGATTGCATTTTTAAAAGCTGTCTACAATAATCTGTTTTGTTCCACATGCTCTTGAATGCAACTTTGACACTGATCACTGAGAAGATGGGAGTCTATGTTCCCTGCCTTGAATCTGGGTATATCAGTTTCCTGTAGCTGCTGTAAACAAATCACCAAAAACTTGTGGCATAAAACAACACATATCTATTATTTTACAGTTCGAGAGATCAGAATTCCAAAATATGTCTTAGTAGGATAAAATCAAGATATTGGCAGGGCCAGATCCTTCTTGAAGCTCTAGGGAGAATCTGTTTCCATGCCTTTTCAAGCTTCTAAAGGCTGCTTGCATTCCTTGGCTCATGGCCAGCATCCCTCTGCCCTCTGCTTCTGTATCATATCTCCTTTTCTGATTCTGAACCTTCTGGATTCCTGTTATAAGGACGTTTGGGATTATATTGTAGCCACCTGGATCATCCAGGATAATCTTCCTATCTCTGGGTCCTTAACTTAATCACATCTGCAAAGCCCCTTTTGCCAGGTCAGCTAACAAATTTACAGGTTCAGGGATTAAACTGTGAACATTTTAGAGTGCTCTTTGTTCTGCCTAACAAACCAGGTCAATTTATGACTACAGGAGAATTGAGGTTATGTGATATCCAAGGCAAGGTCATGAAAGTGATATTGTCAATTGTCTTGAATCCCTTGCTTTTAGAACCCAGTTGTCCTTGCCATGCCTTGAGGAGGCCCAAACTAACCCAAGCAGAAAGGCTACAGGAGAAGCCATGTGTCAGTGTCCTGAAGAACAGCCAGCTGTGGCCTCAGCTGATACCAGCATCAGTCGGCACCCATATGAATGAAGATGCCCCCAGATGATTCCAGAACATAGCTGTCACTTCACTTAGCTTTCATGTCTTCCCACCTGAGGCTCTAGGTATCACAAAGGGGAGATAAGTATCTCCACTACACTCTGTTGAAATCTTGATCCACAGATAATATGAGAGATAATAAAACAATTGCTGTTGTTGTAAGCCACGAATTTGGAGGTAATTTGTTACAAAGCCATACGGAACTAATATGGAGAGCCACACAGCAGAACCTAGGTCTTCAGTTTCTCAGCTTTAGTGCTTTTTTCCACCTCAATTATTACCTTTCAGTCAAGCAAGAAAACCAGTGGTTGTTGAGCAGCTATTAGGAACAATGCCCTCTGGAAAATGTAAAGAATATAAAACTTGCTCTTCATTCTCAAAAAACATTCCCTTCTCCAGTGAGAAAGACATCCAGGTGCAGAGTTGGGAGGCTCGTAGGCAAGGCATGGTAAGAGATGGGAAGAACCCCAAGTATGTCACAGGAAAAGGAGAGAAAAGAGAGTCCAAGGAATATTCTGAAGGTTAGTTGACAAGACTTCCTGGTGAGGAATGCACAGAAAGAAGAGGTAAGGATTCTATTGTTTCTAGCTATTAATATACATAGGAAATCTAGGGGGAGACCCAGGCCTGAGGAAACTTTATGGTGTGCAATCTGGTCATCAGTGGAGCTAATATCTGTTCTCTAAAGCATTTTCATCACTAAGCAATGCATGGTTCCCAATGATGGAGCTGTTAGAGAACTAACTGGGATCACCCTTGGGGGTATCTGTACTATTTATTTAAGGAATTAGACTTCTTAGCACTCATTCCCAGTGCGTATATGATTTTCAGTACCATATATGGCAGATGCTACAGTTTCACATAAACTAGTAGCAGTTGTTCATCCCAGTAAGTCAGAGAAGGGTGTGTGGAATAGGTGTTGTCATCACTATTTTACTTCTAAGAATATATTCAGAATGTGGAGTGCTCCTTCCCCATGTGTGCATCCTCTTAAGCAGAAAGCTTTTCTCGTCCCAGAGATGGAGCAATTTTCTCCCCATTGTCTGTTGAATTCTGAGACATTTTCATATGAATTACAGAAATACACAGACACAACCCTAACCCTAACCTCTAACCCTAACCCCCATGAACATATTCTGTTTTATTTTTACAATGGGTCACTTTCACAATGAGCTAGAAAGTTTGCTTCCACACATTTATAAACATGGTATTTCTGTCTGAAGTTGGGAAAATGTTTCTTTTTCAACAATGTCCATGACTCCATGGAAAATCAGTGTCTTAATGATCTGATTTGCAGAAAATGCTATTTGAATTTACTTGAGCCACAGAGGAATTATTTCTACCTTTTATTTCATTCTTCCTACAGGCAGAGATGGTATGTTTGACTCTATGGGAAGTTAGAAAAGCCCATGACTACAATAATACACATGAAACATTCAAATGGTTGAGAAAAAATTAAAGGACTTTAAGTTTTATGGTTTTAGATGGGATATGCATAAAAATAGGCATATCAATTCTCCATTTTTAAAGAAATAATATTTTCCTGATTATAAAATACATAAAACTTTACTTTTAAAATTTCAGAAATTATTATATTGCTGGTGGGACTGCAAATTGGTGTAACCACTATGGAAAGCAGCATGGAGATTCCTCAGAAAATTTGAGATGGAACCACCATTTGACCCGGCTATTCCATTCCTTGCTTATACCCAAAGGACTTAAAATCAGCATACTACAGTAATGCAGCCAATGTTTATAGCACAATGCAGTCAATGTTTATAGCAGCTCAATTCACAATAGCTAAACTATGGAACCAACCTAGGTGTCCTTCAATAGAGGAATGGATAAAGAAAATGTGGTATATATATTCAGTGGAATATTATTCAGCTTTAAAGAAGAGTGAAAGTATGACATTTGCCAGTTAAATGGATGGAGTTTGAGAATATCATGCTTAGTGAAATAAGCCAGTCCCAACAAACCAAAGGCATAATGTTTTCTCTAATATATGTATGTTAATTCACAATAAGGCAGGAAGCACTAGAGAAGAATAGCATTACCTTAGATTAGGTAGAGGGAAATGAAGGGAGGGCAGGGGAGGAGATGTGGGGATAGGAAGGATAGTAAAAGGAAACAGACATTATTACTTTATGTATATATGTGACTGCATGACCAATGTAATTCTACAACATGTACACTCAGAGAAATAAGAAATTATATCCCATCTATATATGATATAGCAAAGTGCATAAATGCATTCTATTGTCATGTCTAACTAATTAAAATTAAATTAAAATAAAAAATTAGAAAATATGTTAAAGGCAATAAGAAAAAAAAAATCTCTTGTGAATCTTTACCCAGAGATAACTACTGTCTATAGTTTGAAAAAAAAATACTTTGGGCCTCATGCTTTGCAGAAAAACCCTTGGAAATTCTTAATGAAATTATGCATCACTTGCTGAGTTACAAGTGATTTTTTTAGCCAGGGTGTTTTTTTTTTTTTTTTTACTTACCATATCACAAACAATTTTATGTCAAATTTTATTTAGGAAGTCAATGTGACAGGTTTTCGATGGACTGGATATACTTATTACATTAATGTTGGACTATACATTGATTTTATTTATATTACATTTATCTTCTTTATCCTTAGTCAATACATATTTACTGCAGACCCACTATAAGCCTAGCATTGTTCTAGGCAGTGAGGACAAGGAGAAGAATGAAACAGACAAAATCATTACCACCTGTGAATTTGCATTCAAAAAGGGAAGACAGGTGACAATCAAATAGACAAACATGCAGTGTGATAGGTGGTATAGTAGTTCTCTGCCTATTATTTAATAAAAGCTTTGCATATGGACTTCCACGGATTCTGACTTGTATTTTCAGAATAAAATCTTATTTAATAAAAACTGAAAAAGTCAGGCACAGTGGTGCACCCCTGTAATCCCAGTAACTCAAAAGATTGAGGTAGGAGGATTTTAAGTTCAAAGCCAGCCTCAGCCATTTAGCAAGACCTTTTCTCAAAATAAAAAATAAAATGTGTCAGGGGTGAAGCTCAGTGGAGCTCTCTTTGGCTCAATCCCAAGTACCATCCAAACAAACAAACAAAAACGAAAAGAAAAAAAATAGAAACAGTTTACAATCCTTATCTACAGTTTGGGTTTGGATGTATTATAACTGCACCCAAAACTCCAGAGAATCAAGAGTGCTCAATTGTCCAGTACTTCAAAATAAATAATCTCAAATAGGCTTAAAATAACAATTATTATATCTCTTATTGCTCTGTAGATTGACTGGGCTCAGTTGGGCATTTCTTACTTGGGGTATCCTACACATGCAGTCGGAGATAGCTGGGGCTCAGACATCCACGGGTCTTATGGTATTTGAACTTTTAATATAATATGTAACATCCCCTTGAGAGAGCTTTCCAAGTGCATAAGGCAGAGGCTACTCTACTTTTAGCCTCTCGCCAGAAATCACAAAAAATCCCTTATACCATACTCTACAGAGAGGACTAAGACTCTAGATTCAATATACTAGAGGTCTTCACAAAGTTGTGTGCATACCAACAGGCATGGTTCATCAGGGAACCTTTGAAGAGACTGGATACCATAGCAGGAAATGTGGCTTAGACAAAATGAAATTACACAATCATAGATCACCCCACAGAGCTCAGCATAAACTAGGTAAAGATCCCTTTCTAAAACAATTTCAAAGACACAAGCCTGCTAACTCTCTGGATCAAGTAAAGCTGGCAGAGGGAAGAATTGCTGATAGAGCCATTGTTTCCATAGGCATGACTCTGATGGGTGGGGCTGGTAAACCTAGACATCCTTTTGTTGGGGAGAGAGGACTCCTGCCACTGGGAGTACGAAAGCAGTATTTGTTTCTTTTCTCCAGAAGGAGCTAAGCACATCTGAATACCCAATTCTGCTCTGTTCAGCGCACCGGGTATACTGTGCTATCGCTGCCCTACGATACACACAGTGGCAATCTGGTCCTATAACTCCTAAATGCATTTTGGACCTGATGCTAGTCTCTTTAAGTGCATTTCATTCCCACTGTTTCACAAGAACCTCCTTTTTCAGATTAGGATACTGAGGCACAGAAATGAAACAGTTTGCGCCAACACATAGATAAGTGGTATCCCAGGATTCAAACCCAAACAATCCAATACCACAGCCCATTCTCTTGATGGTTGCACTCCTCTGCTTGGAGAAAATCACTTCAATTCTCTGGGTTGCAGGTTCCTCATCTGTAAGAGAGTTAACACCCCTTCCCTTACACACTTGTGCTAAGAAGTGAGAGTCTGCCCAGTTTTGCCACCTAGAAGCTATGGAACCTTGCACAAATTGTTCAACCTTTCTGAGCCGTGGTTTACTTATCTAATCAATGAGTACATTATATTCTTATGAGAAGCTGATGGCACGATGCATATAAAGTACACTGTATGGCATAAGGGGCTTGATAAATGCTATTAACTGGCATTAATATTATTGCTGTAAGACAGTTTTGAGGTTCTTTACTTAAATCTAATACCCTTACAAGTCTTGCTGAAATTTCTGTTATTTTGTCTGATTTTTACTGTTCTCTTATTTTCCCACCCAGGAAACAGCTGCACATTTGGGCAGAGGGACATAGAAAGCATTGGTAGATAGTCACGTTGCCACCACAGATGTCCCTGCCTTGGCTGGGGACAGAAGACAGCAGCCAATATTCACAGAGGACTGCAGATGTTCTCCTTTAACTTGGATCAGAAGGGCTATTATGGACAACACAATGTGTGGGTATTGCAGACTTTTCTGTTCGAAATGGAATATTGCAGAATATGCACACATTCATCCAAAGCTTATTGAATACCTACTCTGTGATGATTATCTTGGAAATACAAAGATGAATGGGACATACTCCCTGTCCCCTAGGACCACAAAATACAGACAAGGAGACAAAACACACATAATTAACTATAGTACAGTGTGAGGAGTTCTATGTATAGCAGAAATACAAACAGTGGTTGATCTCAGAAGGAGACATTTTGTCAGAAGAGGCTTAGAAGGAGACAAGGGAGGCTTCTTGGAGGATGTGGTATTTTATCAGTTCTATAAATAATGAAAGGACTTTAATAAGAGATAGGGTAGGACAAAGATCACGGAGGTGGAGGAAATGATATGAAGGCAGATGGAAAGGAAGGACAGGGAGCTACCTGTTAGAGCAGGGCGTGTGACAAGTGCTACAGATGGCTGGGCCACCTCCATCCATGACTTCACCTTCCCTGGTCATCTTCCATAATGTGACACCTTCTGGTCATTGAGTCATAAGCAGAAGATTGCTGGGTTAGGATTCGGGGAGAGTGTTTCCCTTACCCGTAAAAACAGGACAGGCTCAATTAGCAGGCACTTTCCTTCAACTTTTGCCCTTCACAGTCTCTCCTTTCTCCTCCTGGGAATGGTGGGTGAGATTCCTGGAGGGGTATCTTGAGGTCATGGGGTGATAAGCAGAAGAAAACCATAGAGATACAGGAGCTTGGGCCATCATCAGGCACCTTACCAGCCCTTGGGTGGTAGACCTCTTAATTTCTTATTTGGTGAGAAAAATAGCTCTCTGTTTGTTTAAACCAGAGTACACTGGATGTTCTGTTAATTCCAAAGGAATTAATAGAGGGGGTAATAATGACTTAAGGAATATAAGGCCAAAAATAAATAAATAAATAAATAAAAGAGGGGGATCTATATTGTGAAGGGCCATAGAGTCCACATGTGGAATGACTGTTCCTTATGTAGTAAGCAGAGGTGAAGTGTAGCCAGGTGGTAGAGCTCAGCATGCAAGAGGTCCTCGATTTTATCCCAGCACATTAAACAAAAGCAAAAAAACACTTGTTATTTACTGGGCAATGGGAAACCAGGGAAGGTTTGTGAATAGTAATAATACTGAAACTGTGCTGTAGGAGAAATTATTTGACAACAAAAGAGAAAGTGCTTGGAATCAAAGAAACTGAGTAAGAAGAAGTTCTAATGGTTGCTGTACAAAGTAGTGCCTCCTATTACAATCTCCATCACTAGCAGGTATATCTGTATCATCAGATATATGCAATTGATCATTTCTATATTTAGGTAAAGTGTACTTATAAAACTTGGTCCTGTTACTAATTTGTAAGTCTAACTAAGATGATATTTTGCTCTACAAATCAGTTCCTTAAGCGTCCTTTGCAACCAGACTATAATTCTTCCCCTCATTCTTTCCCATTTCCTACTTAAAATTTTTCCTTTCCCACCACCCTTAGTAGGAGGGTAGTAATAAGCAATGAAGGGAGGGAGACAGGTGAAGGCATTTCACGGGAAGAACTAACCAGTCTTGCGAATTGTTTAAATGTGGCAGGTCAAGAAGCAGGATGAATGAGAAATGACTCCAAGCTAAGGCCTATGTGGCTCAAAGTCAGGAAAGAGAATGAAAGGCATGCAGAAGGGGTGGGAAATAGTGGGTTCCTCAGGCCAGTGACTGGCAGAAACTGTCTACATTGGGTGGATCCCTTCAGGGAGACCTCCTGGTGCTGCACCTTGGTTTAGGGGATATAAAGATCAGTGAGACCCTTGAGGATCTCACACTTCATCCATTTGTAAACATTCATTGAGTTGTCTACTGGTAACCAGGCTTTGTGTAAGTGAACACAAATACAATATGCTAAGTTCCAGGGCTCATGGTGTTTGATAATAGAGAAAAACAGATAAACTAACAATGGCAAAGCAAGACATGCCACAGGTGTGTGGCGGAAATGTTGGGATAAGCAGAAAATTGGAGGGATGTCTGGGATGCCTTCACAATGGAGAGGACCTGTCTGAATGCTAAGTAGGCAAAAGTATTCCAGACAGAATAGACAGTATGTGACCAAGGTGTCACCACACCTAGTACATCCTGCCATTGGGTTGCTGCAGCAGTGGTGGGGGAGGAGTATGTGTAATTAAGTGGATGAATGAAGCCCAAAATGTAATCTGCAATTTACTTGCACAATTTTCTTAACCACCCTGAGCCTCCTTTGCTTCTCTGTTAAATGGGAATAATTCCGTGGGACTTTTACGAGGATTAAATGGGATAATGAATGCTTAACACAGTGCCAAGCATAGTAAATGCTCAATAAATGTTAGTTGTTGTTATCCAGTAGGTCACAAGCTGGATTAGATGGGCATTTTAGAAAGACAGAAGTAGTGTGTGCGAGCAGACTGTGGATACAGGAAGTCCACCTGCGAGCAAGAAGACGGAGCTCAGGGTGATCAGTGGTAGTGGACAGCCCTGGAAGATGATCAGAACATAAATATCCAGTTAGCCCAAATAGAGTTTCTTAAATTAGGCTGGCATAGTAAATTGTAAATTCAAATGCTGCAAAATGAAAACAATCAGACTACTAGTAAGCTGGGAAAAATGTTTAATTTATGGAATCGATCCTGAAGGTACTGGCATTTCCTTTAATTCTAGAGGGTCAGGTAGCTTCATTCAATGTAATATGTTTTGCACGTTTCCATCAGATTCTATTACACCATGGCCTTTATTCAGGCAATGGAGTATTTAATCAGATACAAAAAGTATGTCTTGAATATTTACTGTGCGCAAAGTATTAGTAAAAGTGTCATAATCTTTAGCACAAGATCCAAGTTTGTTCGACAAGGTTGTTCTTGTGCCAAAGAGCCCTGGGGGAAAAGAATGTATGATTTTTAAAATTTGAAGATGTAGAAGCAAAAAAAAAATAGTTATAAACAACTCTGAAAATTCAATCACTGATTCTTTCTAAACTAGTATAATACTCAAAATAAGAAAAAAAAATAACCTCAAAATTTTCTCATGGAATTTGTTCAGGTCCCAAACAATAACATGATTCTACGGTGCTGTCCTGAGCAGCATCAGCAGGGGAAACCAAGACACCTCCTCAGCTGTCTGTGGACCTCAAGAGGGTTTGTTCTCATGGATACACGTGAGTCTGAATGTTCACCAGGGTTTCCCACAGTTCTCTCAATCCAATGGTGGGTGGTGTAGTAAACAAAATCACCACAGACACTAGGACCATTGATCTAGAACCTACCATGTGCACATTGCTTATCACTAATCTGTATAGTAGCCATGACACAGGCATCGCCATCCCCATTTAACAGAAGAAAAGAACGACTGTCCAAAGGTTCAGGATGAGGAGGCAAGCTGAGGCTAAACTGGGGTTGGCTGACTGTAGCTAAGTTCTTTCCACTTCTTTGGTGCCTTCTGAAACTACCTGGTGGTTGATCTGACTGACTCTTCAATAGACTTTATGTTTATTGTTCAGACAGACACATAGTTTGATTTGCCTTCTAGATTTTTTTTTCTTAACATTTTCCCTTCCAGATTATAAGAACAATAAACACTCATTGGAGAAAATAGAAACACATAGAAGCATTATACCTACAATTCTTTGGTTAGGTTGCCAAGGTGAAATTTCATTGTCCTCATTTCAAAAGGAGTGCTCACTTTCTCTCTCTCTCTCTCTCTCTCTCTCTCTCTCTCTCTCTCTCTCTCACACACACACACACACACCCCACCTTTCTTCCCCCTCCCTCTTTATCTTTTGGTACCAGTGATTGAACTCAGGGGCACTCAGTCACTGAGCCACATCCCCGGCCCTATTTTGTATTTTATTTAGAGACAGGGTCTCACTGAGTTGCTCAGTGCCTCGCTTATGCTGAGGTTGGCTTTGACCTTGCAATCCTCCTGCCTCAGCCTCTGCAGGGTGCACCACCATGTCCAGCAGGCGTGCTCTCCCTTATGCGTTGAATTGAAAAGAAAATGCTTTCAATCTTTGTTCTGTCAAATTTCATTTATATCAAATGAATAGGTTCTGTGGTGAGGAAAGGATTTTCTTTCTTTTTCTTTTTTTTTCTAAATGAGAGTCAGAGGTAGAGGGTGGCGTATATAAGCAGTTTCTTGGACATGGCAAGAAGGATGTCCTTCTATGGTCACCGTGGTACAGGCTCAGGCTCACATGTTTTAGGAATCCATGTGTGTTACATACAAGTTTCAACAAGTAGATCCCAATCCATTGCTACAGCTTTCTACCAGGGCTGAAGGAGGGTCTGTGTGTTGGTTGTAAGCCAGTGATGCAACAATGATAATCTTGTTTCTATGTTAAAAAAAAAAGACACAGAAAGCCAGATGTCATATGAAAAGCACAGGAAGAGCAGTTGCCCAGTGCCAGTGCCCCGCTATATCCATGTGCCCAGCCTATGTATTAATGCTACTAAACTCTGAGACTACCCATCGGCACTTGAGATAACTGCTGCCTTTCCCTTTTTCACTAAGGCTCCAAGAACATGTATATTCTAAGATTTTGAGGCAACTCTGCCCTATTTTTCATATTTTTTATTAGTGCTTGAAACTTTTCTGGCTCCCAGCTGGAGTAATTTCTCTAGCTTGAAATGTGCTTTTCAAAGTGATTTGACCTCAATATATTTAAATTAGCAAAGTTCACACAAAAATCTTAATTCCTCACTTCTCTTGTCAAATCAGAAGATCTGGCTATACGGGCTAGAGTTCATAGATGACAACAACTGGCTGAGACGGTGGCCCCCTTGAGATGTGGTGGCCACTGCTCCTGAGTGCCCTACTGCTCTGGATACTGGAGTTGCAGTCGCTGGTTTCATTGCTTTAGCACCTTGAGCTTCTTACAAGAAGGGGGCATTTCTCAGTGCTCATAGCTCTATATCTAAGGCAGGGAGATGAAAAAAAAGGCAGAGGGGGAGGGTGTTGGGCTGCCAGCCAGCTTCAGGCATGAAATGTGTGCCTTGTGTCTTAAACATATCTGATGGTCAGCACTCAGGACTCTTGGCTCCATCACAGGTTCAATTTGTAAGTACTGGTCCTGGGTTCTAATCCCACTTTGTTGCAAGTTGGTGGTATGACCTTGAACAAGTCACCCTCTCACTTTCCTTCCCTTGTCTGTAAAATGAGGCTTTAGCCATGACTTCCTGTGGCCTCTTATCTCAGAAGCTTCCCCGGTGTAGCACACTGTCTTCTTTTTCTGTTTCATCTCTTTGTCAGGGTTACCCTAGGCACTTAGCTCTAGGGCAGGTGATCCTGACTGAGGAAGGAGAAAGAACACCGAGGGAGGGGCATGAGAGGAGGAAAAAAACCAATGTAAGGAGAAATTCAACCCAGAGATGAGCAGAGAAGTGGTGAAGAGAAGGAGTTCCAAAGCTGGTGTTTAAAACATCCAACAATGAGGTAAGTATGACCCGTATCGTCTTATAATTTACACAAAATTGCATGACATTTTAAGAGAAATATTTATTATAGAAAACATGAGAACTGAGAAATTTAAAAAGTAAAGGAAAAAAATCAACTATAATTGTACCACTTAAAGTCAAGGACTGTTTAACTTTGGGAATATGGTTTTCCCTAAGCTTTTCTTTAAAATTCTTTTTATAAAGGATATAGGATACAACTTTGATTTGAAAACAAAATATCATTAACTGTTCAAGTTAAAACATGGTATAGGTATACTGGTACACTTTTGTTTGCTTGCTTGCTTTTTACATAGGCAGAACTTCAAGCAAAATGCAAAACAAACTTTTTTGTTATTACAAAAAAAGTCGAACAAAATTTTTTGTTATTACCCTTTCTATTTACCAGTATAGCTTAAGGGTTTTTACATCATACTGAAATATGAAGTATTGGTTTTATAATTAAAGAGTTTTAAATAAGACCAATTTGCAGAGTTTTTAATGAAGGAATAATTGCATTCTGACTTTTAGGACTTAAAAGCATGTTCCTACAATCATTTTTCTTTTCTTTATTCTTTTTTTTTCTTTTTCTTCTTCTTCTTTTTAAAGTAAAGGTTTTCCTTTGGGAAGGCCTGAGGTGTCATTTCAAAGGTCAAGCATTCCTTATGTCTATTATATCATGAGAAAGCCCCCTTAAAATTGATGATTGTGCCAGTTTTCTCAGCATAGCCTAGAGACAGTTACATTCGGGTTTAGATAACCTCTTTTTGATGCACAAAGGTAAGAAGACGCAATTAAAAATGTTTATAAAAGTGAAAGAATAACCTCACTGCTGAGAAAGAGCGTATCTATAACTTTTCTTGTCATTTAGTAGACTCAGACACAGGAAAGAGGAGAGGCCACCTCTGCCCAAGTAGGGGCACTTGTTTGCAGTTCAGCTTACCTGATTTGCAGAAGATCTCTAATCTTATCAGAATTGAACTACCTGCCTTATTCATTTTCTGCTTTGCTGATACCCAAGCTGGCCTTAAAAAAAAAAAATCAAGAATGCTAAAGCCTGGGGCATACTTCTGGGTGTTCTTAAGACTTAAATGCCACTGCTTAAAGAGTTAAAGATCTCTGGGGATGCGGTGTAAGGACGATATGGCAAATCACCCACTGGAGATGCTCCCCTTGTCCTTTACCAAAACAAAGTCTGAGGAACATGGAATGCATCCAACAATTTAGGAAAATTCTACCATGCCAAGCCAAAGATTAGTATTAGATTTTTTTTTAAGGTAGAGAAAGTTCTCATTGTAATAATTTATCTTTGAAAACAAGAGTTTATTTTTCATTTATCAAAAGTTCAACATTTCCCTCTTAGGAAAAATGCTTTGAGGGATACATTATATCCAGGAAAACACTCACTAACAACATATTTGTGTTTTTCAGCTTAAACTAAAAACCCTTCTTAAGAGATTAAAAAAAAGAAAAGAAATTTCATCATTAGGACCATCCCATTGGAACTGGCTGTTAAGAGTTTGGTGATTTTGGCTTTGTTTACGGCCTCAGTAATTGTTTTAGTATACAGCAAGGGGAAAGTTGCCCCCCAAAGGTATTTTTAAATAAAAGGAAAGACTCTCTACAGTACCTGTTCTGTTGCCAAGAGGAATTCAGTTCTGTACCTGAATGAAAGCTTAGTATTTGGAAACTAGGTGTAACTAGCACTTGGAGATAAGGCAATTCAATTGAATTGTAAAGGGGACAACTTTAAAATTTTGTATCAGTTACACTTATTAGAAAAAGAAAGAGAATAAAGGAGAAGAAGTAAAAGAAAAATACCCTTTTTAGTCAATATGGTCAGAAAGAAAGATACACTTAAGTGAGTTGCATTCTGATAAAATAAAAAATTTAGCTCTTAAAGCCCTAAATTCTACTCCCTATACCAAAGTCTCAAATTATAAGTAGGTTGACTCAAGATTGGGGATGAATGTGTTTTGGTACAGGTTGATTTCTAAATTAAAGACGGTTCCTTTACTTAGAATTCTCTCTTTCAGAATTTGTCATGCTGAATCCTTCTAGATTTTATGATGCTTACTCAAATTTTAAATGAAAACCTTTTTTTTTCTAGTGAAGCTCACTATATGTGATTGACATGTTGGTGGGAGGCACAGGGCCTCCGCAAAAACATTTGAAAATGAAACACTCCTAGTGCATAATCCCTTCCTCAGCTATGAAGGTTTTCAAATAAGTGAAAAAGAGAAAAATGCACGTGAGATTTTTGCCTACAAGAAGAGGGTATGTGCATATGAATCTCACTGTGAAGTGCTGACATTTGACACCGTTTTGAACCCTGAATGCAGCTGGTCATGGGCCTCTGAATTCTCTCTCACCTTGTTCCTTGTGGCCTCTCACTTATCCCTCTGGCCAAGTGCCCTGTGCCTTTCCAGATTCTTGTTCTGCAGAGGCTGAAAGCAGGGCAGAGGCTATGCCCACAATGTTAAAGCAGGGTTCAGCAGCAGTTATCACCGGTTATCATTCCAAAGAGACCTCAACCTGAGCTAGTGGAAATTATCTGTTGGGGTACAACAGCTTTGGTGGGTTTGTAAATAGCCATAATTGAATAAGTACCAGACACAGTGCTTTGGGAGAGCTCCTTTCCTGAAGGAGCTGCTCTAGATATGTTGTTGGGACTTCTGTGGTGCGGTCGCCATGGAAGCATTAGGGTGTGGTGAGAGATTAGGCGGCTGCAAAATCATTGTGCCTTGCCAGATAGAATTATCCTTTGATGTATACTGGGGTCTAAATTGTTTTCTTTCCTTTGATACATTTAAAATTAAGATTCCGTGTTAATCCCTAATTAATTCCAAGATCAAGCTTCTATTTTAGCTACTTCAATGAGTGATGTTGGAATGTTTTTAGGGAAGTGAAGCCATAATAAAATAATTTCCAATTACCTTAAATACCTTGTGGGCATGGTTATTAGGCATGGCTGTATTAAGTATGGGATTTTTACATCAGAATGGCATGATTTTAAATCAGAAGTCATTTAAAGTCATAAGTGGAGTACTTATGACAAGAGTCCAAAAGAGAAAAACAGGAGAGTTAGAAACTGCTATCAAAAATGAAAGTTCAGGGCTAGGGATGTGGCTCAAGCAGTAGCGCGCTCGCCTGGCATGCTCCGGGGCGCTGGGTTCGATCCTCAGCACCACATAAAAATAAAATAAAGATGTTGTGTCCGCTGAAAACTAAAAAATAAATATTAAAAAATTCTCTCTCTCTCTCTCTCTCTCTCTCTCTCTCTTAAAAAAAAAATGAAAGTTCACCTTAGTATGAAAATGCTAAGTGCTGAAGTTGTGGCTCAGTGGTAGAGCGCTTGCCTAGCCCACGTAAGGCACTGGGTTCGATCCTCAGAATCTCATATAAATAAATAAGTAAATAAAAATTCTATTAATAAAGGTAATTCTGTCCATCTATAACTAAAAATATATTTTAAAAATACTGAATCATGAGTTGTAAGACTTATATGGATTAAATATTAAGTCTAAAAACTCAGTTTAAAACAGCTGGAAAAGATGAAGAAAGATGGAAGGAGGTATGGAGAAAGAAGGGAACCTGTGGTTGATCAGAGCTTTTTCTAATCTGAAATCTGCAAAGTCAACCCCTGCTCCTGCAGGGCATCATGCAGGCCCTGACAGGGTCACAGACAGCTGACCTGGGCTGGATCCAGGCAAAACTGTGAGGGACTTAATGAGTCACCCTTTCAGACATTCCCAGCATTCTCATCTCAGGTGTTTGCACCTGAGCCCTAGAAGGAGACGAATTCTTTATAGCAAGGAAATTAAAGAGCATGGTAATGACCACCAAATAATGTTGACATTTGGTAATCATTTGTCACTGATTTGCAGGAGGGTCACAATTTAAAACACTTAGATTCCTCATCTTCATAAATGCAGAATACTTGTCAGAGTATGAGTTTGAGATATTGTTTTGGGGGCAGGGGTTGTCACAATTTCTATTTTTTTAATTCAGCCCTCTACCCTGTCTCAAGAAAAGAGTGAACTTGCATTGATTGGTCATCATTTTCTGTTTGCTCTCATTTGCTCTGGAAGTTGGGTGGAAGCAGGTGATTTCCTGCTTCTTTTTCTCACCCCTAATTAGGGGCTTGAGTCCCCTATGATAATATCTTGAAAGACACTATGCCATTTTCAGCGGGTGGGGCAGGGAGTGAGCAGGACACTCTCCTTCTGCACTCAGGCAACAACCTCAGGGCCCACATATCTGCATCAGTCCTGAAAAGGCCTGTACGTGCTCTACTGGTTGCTAAGTACTTTAATATCACCTGCTATGAAGATTTCATTTGATGAGACTCTGGGTCAGCCAGTGAAGACAACTGAGGTCCAGCCAGACACATGTTAGGTGTGGCATCATCACAAAAATTGGGTTTGCAAGGAGCAGTGGTGCTCACAGCCTATAATCCCAGCCTCAGCAACTTAGTAAGACCCTGTCTCAAAATAAAAAGTCAAAAGCACCGAGGATGTAGCTCAGTGGTAGAGCACCCCTGATTTCAATCTCTAGTACCAAAACAATAAAAAATAAATAGAAAGAAGGTTGCATTGGGTTTGAGTGCCCACTCTGCGGAGATAAAATGAGACACAGGTTGAGCATCTCTCATCTCAAACTCCAAAATCCAAAAGGCTCCAAAATCCAGAACTTGTTCCAAGCATTTCAGAGGCGGGGTGCGCAGTCTGTGCTATATATATTCATGAACAGCTACAACAAGGGAATGAGCTGTCTGCTCTCATTTCACACACAAATGTGTAGGATGATCCTGTTTTGTTTTTTGTTTGTTTGTTTGTTTGTTTTCCTAAATTGCTGAGGCTGATCTCAAACTTGCGATCCTACTGCCTCAACTTCCATAGTGGATGGGATTATGGGCATGTGTGCCATGACACCCAGCTATGACCCATTCTTAAACAAGGCCCTTATGATGCCAATGTGGGAAGCACACTAGGGCCTTCC